AAAGTGCAAATTAACACCACGAATACACACTAGAAGTTGTGACGTACTCGAGAGATCAGTAGACTCATCCAGCACCAGAGAACACCATAAGACGTTCCTAGCTTTCTCTAGTATCTGTAACAACTATGTTCTCTCCAAGTTCTTCTGTTCTCCGCACAACTGAACTTGCTGAAAGGCTGATACTTCCAAACAAATCGGCTTTCTCAGGACACAAGTCATTTGCTGCTTCCATCATACACTCTTTGATGAAGTTGCCGTCAGTAAACGGTTTTCCTCGCTCTGGCCATCTTATGCACTCTTTTTTAACTTGTACGAGTGACAGATTCATTTTCAGCAAACATTCTCGTGAAGAGATTCCTTTGAGATTCCAAAGTACGTTTCATGGACTCAAATTTCTCAGAACGCAACTTTCCAGAAAACTTCGAATATGTTGACAGATGTTTTGTTTCATAGTGACGCCGAAGATTGTACTCAAAACGGCAACACTTTCGTTGCATATCATGCAACTAGCTTTCTGGTTGTTTGTTTCCACAAAGAAGTACTTTTCTCTCCAATCTTCATTGAAAAGGTCACACTCAGCATCTACTTTTCTTTTCTTAGTAGCCATAACGATGGGTGAAGCATTGTATCGTCTTACAACAATGCGCGCAGAGGCGACTGCAGGAATGAACTCTCATTGCAGGTACTTACACGAAAAGCGCTCTGATATCCAAAGTCGCAAAAAGTCGCCGAATTCTTTATTTCACTGATTTTCCTAAAACTTATATTACTGTCAGATTCAAAAATCAGATTGGACAAATTTGGACATTTTTACTTACACTTATTTTAATTTTTTTTTACATAGTAAGTTTATCTACAATCTATGATATTTCCATATAAATAATTATATTTTAGCTCATTTGTGGCACAGTGCAGCGGCGGGCCGAATGAACTGACCTCGCGAGCCGTAGTTTGGTGACCCCTGTCATAGACTATGAGCACAAGGTTCAAAAGAAAGCAGCGATGGGTGTTTGTAGAGTTTACGGATTCTATTCATCATCACCGCACTGTAGACCGAATGTGGTTGCAGGTCATCAAGCGGAGTTTTTAAAAGAAAATGCGCAACGTAGTATTAGGACGTAAGTGGGAGGTGGTCAGGACGCACGGAAAGCAGCCTTTGTGCGTCCAGGTCACTCTTATTGTTGCTTACATGCCCGAGGAATCGTTCACGTTATAGAAATTTGTGATACGCGTGAAAATAGGTAGAGGAGGAGGAATCGCGCGTGATAGCGCGGGTCAGTAGCATACCACTGGATAGAACATTTACTAAAACAACGTCATAATGATGTTTTCGTCTCTTTTTGCGTATTGCCAGAAGAGGGCATTGTTTGTAAACACTTAATAAGAAAGGACTAAATACTTAACTTGAGTCTGTTGAGTCGTCAGTATTAGTTATTCGGATGAAACATAAGACGTCAACCAGAAAAAAAAGAAAGAGTAACTGTGTTTGAAGGGGACGGCGCACATTACGGGTGAGGGGTAAGTTCTTCTACCCAGCTCTGTCTGTTTACGTGGTGCCTCGTAATAACCCCACCTGATCCCCCTGGAATATACGTGACAACTTGATCCCGCTGGTACACACATGACAACCACACCTGATCCCACTGGAACACACACAATAATCATGCCTGATCCACGTGGAACACACATGATAACCACACCTGATCCAGCTTGAACACACATGATCCCACTGGAACACACACGATAATCATGCCTGATCCACGTGGAACACACATGATAACCACACCTGATCCAGCTTGAACACATATGATCCCACTGGAACACACATATTAACCACACCTGATCCCGCTGGAACAGACATGATAATCATGCCTGATCACACTGGAATACACACGATAACCATGCCTGATCACACTGGAATACACACGATAACCACACCTGATCCAGCTTGAACACACATGATCACATTGGAACATACATATTAACCACACCTGATACCACTGGAATACAGATGGTAACCACACCTGATCCAGCTGAAATACACATGATAACTATCTCTGATCCCATTGGAACCCCCTCGACGTCCTTATGTTTTAATGAAACTAGTCGCAGTGTGTTGGTACCTTGGCAGTTTCTGTCTAACGGTGTCCAATATGCTCGTGAGATTGACTTATATCATTTAGATTTTATTATTGTTCACACCTACCTTTTGGTGTTCCGTCTTCGTCTTTTGGTGGCGTACATAGTGGTTAAGTGGTTCATCTTGAGAGGTGCACGGAGAATTAAAGATCAGCCACGCATCGTGGCAGGTGACTCGCGAGTGATTAGCACGCGCCACGAACGACACTAGTTCAGTCACATGGGCACTCAGTCGCTGGGTTTAGTTGAGCCTGATCTCTACGTTTTTATCGGAAGTAAAACAATAACAGTTTAAGCTAACCCTGCAGCATCCTCTAGGCTTAGCTAACAGAACGTGACCGTGTCGTCAGAGTGAAGTAGTGAGTCCCCAGAGTGGGGAGTCAGTCTGTTAAACAGAGTGTGGGCGTGGCGTTAGATTACGAATTAAACTCAAAGATTCATTCTGTCCCTTCCAAATTCTGATCATACTAGCCTCGATTTCTTTTTTAATATATCAAATATATAGTGATTGATAGGCCACTAACTACATCGGGCAGGTGGTATCTAGGAACGCCCTCCATGAAGGTACCGACCAATCAGGTTACTCCACTGATGACGCACTCTAATAGTAATGGCGGTTCCCTGGCCAGGTAAAAACACGCCAAGCTCAGCAAGCTGCTCACCATGGCGACTGTGGCTAACTACAGCTTAGCATCTGGCTAACGATAAGTGGGCAGTCACTCTTGACCAACAGCTTAGTTTAACTGCTCAACCAGGATCCCGTATTTTTAGGTTAGGTTTGTTTTGTCATTAACACTTGCTGCAGAATAGGTAGCAAAATCAGGTAGTCGTTGTGAGCTGCGTAGATCTCTCGGGCAGCCAACCGAACTGTTATGGAAAGTTACCCAGACAGAGGCTTCCGGCAGCCGGCAACCCTGTTTCGTTTGTCCTGCGGAGCTAACGCACCACTCGGACCGGCTGCCAAAAAAACAACAACAACAAACCCACAAAAAACAAGACTTGTCCTGTAATGTCTGCGATTTAGAAAAAGAAAATTTTTCGCAGTTTAAACTTGTTCATTTGAGTCTCACTAGAAAGCTACCTGCTTCCACACCTCCAAGAAAGAATACATTCTAGATATTTACTGGTTGCTTCTTTACTCCCTCCGGAAAGAGCCAAGTGTGTCGGCACAGCGGAGTCAGACAAAGGCACCAGAACTTAGGAGAGATCAAAATAAATGATATTTTAAACGATTACAGCTGTTTTTTCTCCTTCTGTGTGACAGCGAAACATGAACTGGTAAGAGTTAATGCACATGGCCAACTATACGTACACAACAGGGTACCGTGAGACTGACATATAGCTGACAACTGAGTAAAAAATAAACTTCAAATATAATTAATCGATAAAACCTTGTCAAATAATATAGCGGTCTACATACACAGACTTAAAAAGGAGAAGAACGAATTAGCAGAAGCCTGGAGCTAACTGTTTTAACTTACAATGAATCAAGTAAATTAATTAATATTCATATTGAATAAACGTTAATGTTACACAGGTTAAAATATTCTTCTGATTTTGGTATATTACATTAATAGATGTAAACAAATTCACTAATTTGACAGAAGTTGTGTCTTCAGATTCATATTTAGTTTAATAAGGTTTTCAGATTCCATATATTTACACCAAATGTGTCATTATGGTCATACTTCTTCAGTTTAGTTTTC